ATTTACTACTTTAGGTTTCTATCAGATGACCTCTCGTACTCGTGACGAGACGGAAGCTCTGTATCACGTAGTCGTTTTATTTATTTATTTTTTATATTAAAAATTGCGATACAATTATAAATATATGGAATAAATGTTATCTCTCTTTTTTATGCCCAGCTAAGTGTCAATTGGAAATCAAACGGTAAAAGCGTTAGTAGGTAAACAGCGAAAGCATATAAATATACAAACATATAAAGTGGGGTATATTGGTAGAGGTGTGCGAATCCAACATTTACATGGTCGAATCGAATCTGAATCAAATTTTCCCAGATTAACATTACATATTAATTTAAACGTAATAAATATCAAAATTTATGATTTACATTATTTTACACAATGATTTAAATAAACCGAAGATTTGTTTTCGATTTACATCTCATTACAAAGCATCATGATCTTATGTGACATTTTGAACTAGAAAATATTAATAATATGTGTATACACGAATAGTTAGAATGCTTTCGAATATTTTATTAATCTATATGAATACATTACATATATCAAAAATATTTATTTATTAGATAAGAATAATTGGTCGCACGGGAGATGTAAATTAACCAAATAAAATAAGCGATCGATTCGAAACCATTTTGTTGATTCGAAATTCTCGAAATAGATTCGATTCGATTCGATTCGAATTTGAACTATTCGTACACTTCTAATAATAATAACCTTGTATGTATAGTCCTACTAAATATGAACAAAATTTTACTATAAATTATAATAATTTCAAATATTAATATAATAAAATATCAAGATACATATACGAGACGAATGAAATAAATATTTTTATGTAGTAAATTATAGTAAGTATAATTATTTTCTTAACATTTGCTTACTATTTAGTATTTATATTGTAATAACAACTAAAAAATAAGTAAACGAAAAAATAATATCAATCATAACATATATAACCGTGCATTGTTAAAGCAGCTATAATTTGCACGATTAAATTAATTATAATTTTACAATTGTCCCCGAAATTCACTATTAATTACAGTTAAATTATGGTTATTCCAACTATATATTTTTCTCCCGGTGTAAATTATCTTGCGCGCGAATAAAATATTTTAAAGAATACTTTTTTTAGAGACGCGAATATTAGGTTGAAATCGTGATATTCGGTGGTCGGCGTGAAATCAAACTGTGGAATATATTCCACGGATATATTGTGCATTTCTACATGGAATAGTTCGATTCGTGTCCATCGGGAATTTCGGCGTGCAAAATGTTAATTGAATTGAATTGAAATATCCGAGATTTTGTCGGTCGGTTTCAGAACGAGATATATTCAATTTGTTGCGCTCCGAAACAAAGGGATAAGCACTTCCTGACGCAACATTGGTGATCGCAATCATATACGTACAGATCGAGAATCGCCGACATCACGTAAACGCATATACATATACATACACACACGCATACACACACGTAAATGCATGTGCATCATGCACTGATTGATGATATCGTCTTCATTGTGCAGCACTCGGCGCTCTCGACTAGAGTCGATTGGCCTGATTGATCTTAGAATAGAATTTTGGCGAGAGTATAATCGTCTGATCTGCATGCTGGCAACTATTATGATCGAACACAGGTGTGATTGTATACTGGCAATAGTAGAGCAAGTAGCGTCGGGATCAGGGCTGGGCAAAATACACCATTAAAGTATTTAAAATACAAAATATAAAATACTTTCAATCTTTTGATTTGAAATACAAAATACAAAATACTTTTAAGTTTGTATTTGAAATACAAAATACTTCTTTGAAATACAAAATACTTTTTAATTTAATCTTTCAATTACAATAATATATAATATTAAACTCCCCGTTTCAACAGGCCCTCTCCACTTTTAGAGAGAGAGAAAGAAAAATTGATTTACTCTCTTACATTTTTTAACAGTCCTGTATCAATCACACGAGAAATCTATTTACTAATGTGAGATTATGAAATTTGACTCTGATGACTTGATATTGCTTGAAACTTGATGAAAATAATTAGTGTCATATGAGAAAAATTTAAGTTACTCTTAATGATTATCAAGAATTTTTATCAATAATTTTTTTAGTATTTCAAATACAAAATAGATTGAAATTGTATTTGAAATACAAAATACATTGAATAATTTATTTGAAGTACAAAATACAAAATACTTTTATGTGTTCCGCTTAAATACAAAATACAAAATACAAATTGTATTTCAAATACTGTATTTCAAATACAAGTATTTGAAATATGCCCAGCCCTGGTCGGGATTGATGTTTGCCAGGATAACTTATTGTTATAGGAAATGATATACATGAATTGGGCAATTATTTATTCATTAAGTGGTCTGACAAATATAATTTTATTGCGCGAAACCATCTAACATCGAGCGAAAAGTGATGTTAACACAGAAAGGGACAATCAGCAAATTCTTACGATATAAATGCGAAGGGCAGCTCTTGTTTATTAGTTTCTATCTATACAAACTTTAAATAAATTCTCATTTTTTTAATGACAGATCTTTGCCTCGCATAATACTCGTACAATCAGAAATATATACTGTAAAATAGAAAGATGAAGAAATACAGTTAGTACTGATAGCAATATGACATAAAGTGTAAGAAGGAATCTATAATTTTTTTAAGTATACAAAGAGCACTTGAGCTCGTTTTTTTTTACGAAAATTTCGCCGTGAATTATTAAAATTCAAATTGTAAAAAAAATCTACGAGAAATATTTTTTCAGAAAATCAAGTTCAAAGTAGATTCATAGGATGAATAGCGCTTTGTACGTCGCGTCGGCCGGGCAGAAAAAGCTCGGGCTAAATCTTTTCAAAAAGAGCCCTCGCTGAACATGACGTGGAAGATTAATTTCATTGTCGTAAAAGAGAAAAGTCGGCATTTAACGCGGCAATTCCTATCGTCGGGCGGAGTTCAAACGCGTCAAAATTGTTAGGTGAATTAACTTCTTCTGTGCGAAGAGAAGAGGAAGAAGAAGAGTCGAGTTCGCGATTACGATGAGAGAAGTTACGCTTGGCGAAGCGAGGAATAAATATCCCGTTCTTCCGGACTTCCGTTCGCGCGGCTCTATCGACGTTTCCGCGTTCTCATTATCCGCGTTAAATATTTCGCGGTTACTTCCGACTCTATTACGCAAATTGACCGAGTTTACGTTGATTTGCGGTTGGAATATATCGGCCATCTCCGATGCGATGACCAATCGAAAATGTCGCAGTCGATCGCTTTCAAAAGCCTCAAAGGAAATCTTCACAAATATGTAAAATTCTGTGATTAATTTGCAATTGCAAGAATTTCTCTTGGAAAGTAGTCAAATACGACAGTCGATAAATTAACGTAATGATAAAAAAAAGGAAAAAGAATGGATGAGTGAAAATATTTATTGGAAAAGATGACTGATGATCCACATAGGGTGTCAATTAAATTACAGGTACAAACTTTGAATGTAGATTCAGAAATAGATAAAGAATCATTAACAGGATGGGTACTACCGGGAAAAACTGGGAAAACGGAAATTTTCAGAGAATTTCATTTTTACCCTTGAAATTTTCAGAGAATTTCATTTTTACCCTTGAAAATCATGGATTCTCATGGAATTTTATTGATACTCAGGGAAATTTTTTGAATTTTACTTTTAAATTTAATTTTAGAAAGTAAACGTGGTCCCATATCGAAGGTCCCTGATATTGAAAGTTAATTTATTTTAAAATTGACATATATTATATAACAGGGGTCGGTAAAATAACTTGATACAATTTATTTAAAATAACAAATATAAAATAGATTCCAAAAACTTATTTAAAATAAAATATCGCAGGGGTAAATAAAAAAATTGATACGACTTATTTAAAATTAAAAAATATAAAATAGATTTCAAAAACATATTTAAAAGATTAAATAAGAAATAGATCAGAAGAAATTATTTAGAATAATAAATACTAAATAATTCATTTACTTTTTTTATTTAAAGTGAAAAATTTTAAATAGATTCCAAAACATATTTAAGATATCAAATATAAAATAGATCAGAAGAAGCTACTTGAAATAATAAATATTAAATAACTCTTTTAGTTTTTGTTATTTAAAATATATATTTTAAATAATGTTATTTTAAGTACGATCAACCCCTGCTATATAAAGACTCTTTAATCTAAAAAACGATAATCCGGAAATAATAAATCAGGCATTAAGAGTCTAATAACGCAGAACTTGGTGCGTGAAACAATTTAATCTTCACATATGTAGTTATACATATGAGAACATTAAATTGTTTTACGCATCAAGTTTTATACGTTATTAAAACTCTTTTAAGTGCTTAATTTATTTTAAAACTATATTAAGAAATTCTCTAATTTTACCTGGATTTTGAATAAAATTTCTGGAAAATCCGAGAATTTTCAGGGAATTCTTTTACAAAATTTGAGTACCCATCCTAATTAAGTTCGTCAATTAAGTAGTGAGATGATTTTTCTTTTTCGCACAAGTCGAAAGAGGATCACTTTTTTTTTTGCAAATCGACGTAAGCGCGTATTCTTATTCAAACTCGAGAATGTTCTATTTAAACTAAAATCTCCAGAGGACATTAAGAGACATTTGCAAAGATAACTAACGCAGAAAATTAAAACGGCAAACCGATAACACAAATCCTTTTTCCGTGAGGTAACTTCATTTTAATCTTCACGTGACATTTAAATTATTAAGTGATTCAAAGTAGAAAATTGAAACGGGAGAAATTCAACGAGACGTTCGCCGAGGGAAAATCGATTTCCCCCGAGCTCGGAAAATTCGCGGACGAGCTTTGTACCTGTAGTTTCATGACACTCTGCAATAGAGAGAGAGAGAGAGAGAGAGAGAGAGAGAGAGAGAGAGAGAGAGAGAGAGAGAGAGAGAGAGAGAGAGAGGGAGGGAGGGAGGGAGAGAGGACCTTACCCTACGTCGTGACTCGCGTCGTGTCAGGTTGTGACGACCCTGGGACCGGCGAAACCGCAACGACTGGTGTCCGGACACGCGTCCTCGACGGAGGCGTCGTCGGAGGCGGCGCGCGAGCATCAGATGATCGAGGTCCAGGAGCTGGAGCTGCAGGAGCAGGAGATGCGGGCACTACTGTCGCCCTCCAGCCCAACCAGCAGATGTCACTTGGGCAACCTGGCCGGCACGCCGCCGCATCGGCTCTGCTTCGAGACGAGCTTCACGTCGTTGCGTAGCCCGTCGACGGACTTACCGCTGCAGGCCGGACGTGAGCTCAGCGTGGACTCCCGCGGTATCCCGTGGGAGTACGTCAGCCTCGCCAGCGAGCTGCTCAACACGCCCAGGCCGGAAGACGGCAAACCGTAAGGACGATCAACCCCCGCAACTTGTTAGATACTAACCCTTCGCGGTCCGGCGGCATGAATAATCGACTATCGGAAATCGATGTAATTTTATTACCACTTAATTGTTCTATTTTCGTGGGGCGAGATATATATATATATATGGCCCACAGATTTCTACAGAGATCTGGTATGTAGAAATCTGTGATGCAGTATTGTATCCAGCAAAACGAAAATAAATTGAAATGAATAGAAATGAATTCGTTTCGACATTTCCGAAATGGCGCTTCTGATTTTTCGAATCCATTTCAAATCTAATAATAATATAATACGGACGTAAATATATATATATATATACAGGGTGGACCATTTTAATCCATCCAGTCGAATATCTCGAAAATCAAGCCCGGGAGAGAAAAATTTTTCAGACAAAAGTTGTTTGGTTTCAAA